AACTGGTGTGGAGCTCGGCTCTGCTTTAGCACCAGAGCCTGCCTAGGTGGAGCTGCTTCTCTTCGGCATCCAGAAAATGCTGGATCAGGTCTGCTCACCCAAATACAGCCTGCCTGCAGCTTCTGAGCAGAGCTCAGGCCAAAAAATAAAACCCACCCAAGCTGTGGGTTTGTGTTTGTTTTCCACACTCCCCCTTTGAAATCCCATGCCAAAGGTAAGCTCTTCTGGAGATTAGGCTTTGGCAAATTGTGCTATGCTGCTGAAACCTCCAGGAACGCCCTTGGTGAGCTCTGAGCACGTCCTGCTGCTGGGATGGGAAGGGTGTCCTGGCCCCAGCTTTCCAGGGGATGTAGGGTTGTGTGTGACACTGACCAGCAGGACACCCCCTTCCCTGCCAAAAACTGGGGACAGGCAGCAGAGCCCCTCTGCTGTTATGCAGGAGGCTCTGACGATTGGCAAGGGGGGTTTAATGGCCACCAGCCCAGCACTGGGGGGAGGAATACCTTAAAATGGGAGCACTTGGTGCTTAGGTAGCTTTCCTGCTTTATTTTTATTTTATTTCTTTTCCCCCCCAGGTATTGTGCAGCAATGAAAGAGCTGCAGATAAACAGCCAAACCCATTGAGGCTGGGGAAGCTGCCTAGTGAGTGACCCAGCCACTGACTCCGGGCTGACCGTGTTCCAGCCCTAAATAGCTGCTGTTCAGGGACAGGTGGGTCACAGCAAACTTTATTTTTCTGGAAACAGCAAGTACATTGTGCAGAGAAAGCTTTCCAAGGATGATCCCCACGCCCTTTTCAGGAAATACCGTGCAGTTCTCCTTTGTGCCATGCCAACTTTTTTTTCTTTTTTACTTTTTTTTTTTTCTCTTCCCTTTCAATCGGCAGAAATGACAGGGCTCAGCAAGGACACACTGTGTTTTCCCTGTTGGATTTTATTTTGAAATCGCTGCTGGTTTGATCTTTGCATCTCTCCACCCCCAGGCTCGTCCCTCTCCCTGCCTGTTCTCTGGCTCCAGGCTCTCGCTCCGGTGCAGTGGGGTTGGCTGGGGAGTGAAAACTTGGTCCTGGGGGACATCACCCGACCTGGGCACAAAGTTAAAGAGTTGTATTCGATTTGTAAAAGCCACCACAGTGAGGAGACAGGGCTCTCCCTGCCTAGTGACTCCTCATCCCTTGCAGAAGTCCAATTTTCCAGCCTGATTTCAGCTCTGGAGCCACCATCCCAACAGCAGTGGCCGTGATTCCTTTGGGGGACTCGAAATATCCTCCCCCGCGCGGTGACGCGCCGGTGTAACCGGCTTTTCCAAGACCTGCTATTCCAGGGGTGGGGTTGGGTTGGCCCCGGGTGTATTAGAGCTCCTTCTTGGCTCTGGTGTGTTTTTCCCGGTACAGAGCTCTTGAATTAAGTGGTGTGGAAGTGGGGACTGCGAGAGGAGGAGGAAGGATTCGTACCCCACATGAGGGCAGTGTCATGCAGGGTGGGTGCTGCCAGGACGCACCCTCGAGGTCGCCTTCTCTGTCCCAGAATCCTCTCCATAGGGATAAGCCCTCCTGCGCCCCAAGTATCCCAAAACACAGCGGGTGGGAGCCAAGACAGTCCCAGTGCAGCTCCACGAGGATGCAGCAGGAGCTGGAGCATCTCCCTGTCCCACCACCCCTTACTTGGGTGTTTACTTCCTTGCTCTAATTTCCAAAACAACAATAAACCCCCAAACCATTTGAGATGGCTGAAAACACCTGGGTTCATTCTCTTCTTTTAATTCCAACCAAGCACACAAGCTTTTTTTTTTTTTTTTTTTTTAATTTATTAATTCCCCCCCCTCTACAAATATCTCTTCTGGGCTCAGCAGTCCCCAGAGCTCCCTTTTGCTGCTGAGCTTCAATTGTTTCTACACTTCCAGATCCATCTTTTGGATATTTTTACAGGCCTGAGTCCATTTTGGGCCCTTTTTCTTTTTTATTACTCACATTTTTACTGGGATGACATTTTGACTGGTCTGGGAAATCTTCTTGCCTGTTACACCAGTTCTTGACAATCAAGCTTTAATCTTTCCAGAGAGGAAGATAGAAAAAAACCCTAATCAATAAAATAATCCAGATTTCTCTACAATTGCAGAAAATGAAGCAGGAGGAGCCTGGATCAAGGCAGTGACTGATTTATTAATTCCCCCCCCTCTACAAATATCTCTTCTGGGCTCAGCAGTCCCCAGAGCTCCCTTTTGCTGCTGAGCTTCAATTGTTTCTACACTTCCAGATCCATCTTTTGGATATTTTTACAGGCCTGAGTCCATTTTGGGCCCTTTTTCTTTTTTATTACTCACATTTTTACTGGGATGACATTTTGACTGGTCTGGGAAATCTTCTTGCCTGTTACACCAGTTCTTGACAATCAAGCTTTAATCTTTCCAGAGAGGAAGATAGAAAAAAACCCTAATCAATAAAATAATCCAGATTTCTCTACAATTGCAGAAAATGAAGCAGGAGGAGCCTGGATCAAGGCAGTGACTGCGCAAGCACCGACCATGGCTGGACAGATGTTGGTCTAATTACAGCAAAAACCTCTGGCACTGGTGATGCTTCACTCTCCACACCCTGCATGTAGCATCACAGCCAGGTGGCCTCTCTAATCTCCATTCTATATCCTTTTTCCTGCTATTTTCAGTGTTAGGAAGAGATGCTGGATGGTAGAAAACCATGCCTCCTTGGTCATCTCCATGGTTTTGTGTTCTTCTACCCTTTTTTTCTCTGTAGTTCTCCCCATTTCTCACAAAAAATAAAAGTCCCAAACAAACAAAACTGCCAGAGATGAAAGATTTCTAAATTAGATCTTTCAGGCACTTTGAAACAAGTTTCCCTGTGCCTGGGTTTTCATGGCCAGGAACTGGTGTGGAGCTGCCACTCATCCCCCACCTCCCCAGATCTTCCTCCACTGCATCCCCTCCTTTCTCTCCATCACATTTGACGTCACCCCTTCAGTCTGCAAACAGCTTAATCCAGATCTAGGAAGAAAAGGAAAAAGGCAGAGACAAGATTTTTCCTACTGAGCATCAAGGGCCTCCTGGGAATTCACCCAGGGGTTTCCCAACTGCAGAGCTGGTGGCTGCTGAGCGGTGGCAGTGGTGGTGGCACTGCCAGCACCTTTGTACTTCTGTGACCCATCAGCCGTCTGGATGTTTCTCCACGGAGGCTCAAAATCTTATTTCCAGCTGGGAAGCTCCACGAGCTGCTCACTCACACACAGTTTTACCATTAATGCGACCAAAACGGAACCATCTGGTCACTGGTGAGTCTGGGGTTGTTTTAACACCTAAAAGAACAAGCAGAGAAAAAAAGAGATTGGTGGCAAGACAGGAATATAAATGCAAAAATATGGATTTCTCCTTCTGATTTACAAGTCCCTGGACAGGAGCAGTGATGGTGCTGAGAGCCCTGTACTTTGCCATTGTCTCTGTGGCCACGTGTGCAGACGTGGCTACTACAGGAGGATGCTGGAGGCATCAGGCAGCCAGACTGGTTTGAAGGCTGGTGTTAATGAACTGGTGTTAATGAACTGGTGTTAATGGGCACCCTGATGGTGCGAGGTCAGGCTGGGCATTGCTGGAGTCATGCAGGGGCTGTTGCTGGACCCTGACAGGGTTTTTCCATGTGGACTTTCACTGGAGAGTGAAGAATCAAGCTGCAGAGCAACTCCCCAGTGCAGACAGATCGTTAACCACATCACTTTAATTATGCCAGTGCAAATTTCACTCATTTGGTTAAGCCTGGGAGCTACGAGAAGAGCTATTTCCAGGTGTACAGGTTTAATTACCGCCTGCCCTTCATTAACCATGGCACGCAGTGCGTGGCTGGGGTTTGCTGGGCTGGGGCAGGTTTGCAGCCACCAGCCTTGGGATGGCCCTGCTCATGGCTCCGCACGTCCCCAGGAATGTACACGGGTCAGATAAATGGGTTTTAACCTGATTTTTGCTGTAATCTCCACGTCAACAGGCCCTCAACATGCAAAGGATAAAACGTCAGCACCCGCAGCTTGTGGGGTTTCATTGCTGGGGGTCTAGCTGGCCCATGTCCCCAAGCTGAGTGGCTGCCCTGTCCCACCACCCCAGGGGCACCTCTGGGCTGTGTGTGTTTGTAAAATAATGGCTTTTGTTTGCTTAACTTCGTGCACTTCAGCACGCAGAGGCACAGTTCCTGCTGCCCTGCTCCCTCTGCCTGCCCCACAGCCGCAGGCAGGGACGCGGTGACAGTCCCACTGTGGCCCAGCCCCAGCCCTGCCATCCCACCCTCGCAAAAAATAGCAGCTTTCGGGTGCTTTATTTGCACTTTCCTTTTTTGAACTTGCCTGAAAAAGACACAGAAGGGCTCGGTTTTCCAAGAACCAGGGTTTAAATGACATCTCTCCCCTGCTCATCCAGCTGCATCCTCCTGAAACCCTCCTCCTTCCTCTCATTGTCATATAAAGAGATGTGCATGGTGCGTGCTGGGATTTTAACTGTAATTCACAGATATAAAACTGCCAGGATTATTATAAATTTTATTCAGCAGGGTTTGGACGTTACTGGTTCAGCGGTGCCTCTTCCCATGCTGTCTTTGCAGCAGCTTCTGTTTAGCCACTTGGCTTGCAAAATTTATTGCCTGGCCAGTACCTTGCAGTAATTCTCTGAGTTTTCAAATAATCCCAGGAAAAGAGTGAGACCAGAGCCTTAGTTTGCATTCATTGCAAAGCTTGTAGGGCCAAAGTCCAGTTTTCCTGACACCCCTGGTAAATCCCATGGACTGGGCTGGGAAAATTGCTATCTGGGATGTAAGGGGATACACTCTGAATTTTGAGATCGTGCCAGAGGGAGAGGGGATGGGAGGGTGCAGGGACTGGGGGGCACCAAAACACAGGTCCCAGCATTGCAGTCAGTGTTGGGCCAAGGCTCTTGCCCCTCTTGTCTGAGCCAGGCTGAGCCAGGCTCCCTGGCAGGGCACAAGGACCACGGCTGATACCTTGGGTTACATGGTCAATGGCCTCAGCATAGAAGGCTTGGGATGCAGGATGCTGCTGGGTTTTGTTGCCCATGGGGCCATTGCAGTGGGAAACAGAGTGCATGGATTTGGCCTGGAACTCCTGGAATTTGCCCATTTTTCATCACCTAGTGCAGAGGCAATAGGTTTTGAATCCCTGCCTCCTCCTTTCCCATCTACACTCTTTGCCATCAGAAAGCTTTTCCCACCATCAAATCACAAACCCTCCCTGAAGCCAGAGCCCATTCATCCTTCTCCGCTCCCCATGGTAATATTCCTTCTCTTCTTTGCAGCCCTTGCCAACAGCAGGCAGACCCTGCAGACCTTCCCTGTGGATCCAAGGGGATGTTGTGAGACTGAAGGGATGGAGTTGGTCTCCTCCATTCCTACCTTTCCTCTGCCTCACCGCGTCTCTCACACACGTCGCACGCACAGCACCTACCTGCCCTCATCCATCTCCTGCACCTTAACCAACTGGAAACTCGAGGAAAAGCCCATAAACCAGATGGGAAATGAGGACTGGATTTGTACTATTCTTGTACTAATGGAAACCATCTTTACTGCTAAATCAGAAGAAATGGCCATGCACAAACCCATCGCTCTGCCCAGGCCACGCATGGGTGGCCTTGTGAGGATGCCTGGAAGAGTGAGACCCAACATGAGCACATGGCTCCAGCATCCCCACACACCATGATGGATACCTGCAGAGATTTTCAGGAGCAACAGCTTTCAGCAGACACTGTGAGTCACCAAATTCCCCCTTCTCTTATGGCAGCAAATTGTCCCATCCCTGGTGGTGGCACAACGGCCTCCATCTGCACACACAAACCCTCCAACTGCCCATTTTGGTGCTGTTTCTGACTGCATGGGATGAGCCTGCTGTTAGTGGGGACTCGTCTCTGTCTGCCCCTCTCCGTGTATTTATGTATTTGCTGTGACTGGGACAGATCCACCCCAGCAGGGAGCTGCCTGAGGAATTTGTCTCCATGTAAATTTCTCTTGGTTTAATGTCGCCGCTGAGCTGGGGGGACTTCCCTGTTACCTCGGGCTGTGTGACCATGATTTTCCTCTCTGGCTCCAGTCATGGGATGCAGGATGTGTTTGGTGCCCCTTCCCCCCCCATGCCCCCTCCCAGCTGCTGACTTTTCTTTCCAGACACTCCTTTGCCCCGAGGCTGAGTCTAGGTGGGTTTTTCTAAGCTGTTTGGAGCTTGCAAATGTGTTTGCTTTCAGATGGATGCAGCTGATGCAGCCGCATTTTCCCACTCTGCATGTCAATACCCACCCCAAAGTAGGTGACTTCAAGGAGGTGGCTGCAAGGGCATCTTCTAAGGGTCCCAAATACTTTCCAAATCTGTTCAGGGTCTGGACAACTGACAACAACCACTCTAGGGATCACAGACATCCTGAAACCATCCTGACCAGAGCCTGTGGTTGCAGCTGCAGTACCAGGCAAGGGCCTTGTGAGCCTCGGGGGCTGCACGAGGGCATTTCTGGAACTCTAGTGAGACACGAGTGATGCTCCGAGGTGATGCCAGTGAAGCACCACTTCGTTTTGGGCAGCTCTCAGCTTTCTGCCGGCCTCTGCCCGTGCTGGCAGGGAGGGCTGTGGAACAGAGCATTATTGACCAGCTCCTGAGCCCGTCCTTTGTGTGTCCTGCCGCCTTCTCCCAAACAAAGCCTATTTTCTGATGTGCCACGAGCTTTCTGCTGGCTCCCGAATGGGGACCGTGGGAGGCAAGGGCAGTGGTCCAGCCCCTCTGCCCCTGCCCATGGCTGCCCATGGTACCCCTCCTGCCCACCATGGCCAAGCTTCCCTAGAGGGTCCTGCCCCTAAATCTTCCCCATCGGCAGCCCTTCCTGGCCTTCCTCCCTGAGCCCCTGAGGAACTGGGAGAGCAGAAGGGAGGTCCGGGGGCATGGGGGCAGTGAGGGGGTGCAGGGGAGGTGTTCGGGGGATCTGGAGGCCAGTGCTGGAGGAATGGAGAGGGGAGGTGCAGTGGGAAATACCTGTGGATGTAGTGCAGAGGGATGAGCGGTGGGGAGGATGCCTGGGAGGGATGCAGGAGTAACTGGGGGGGGGATGCAGGCAGGATGCCCAGGGGTCGGTGCCCGGGGGTTGCAGGGGGGTGGGGGGGAGGGTGAGGGGTTGACTGCCCATGGGGGTGCAGGGGGCTGCCCGGA